TACATTTGGTTTGCCCACTGTTTTATTGACCTTTTCACATAGCGTTTGTTGGATTTCGCTTGAGCTAAAATTGAATTTCATAGTTTTGCAGAAATTCTGAAATTTGAATTCATGATATGTGCAAATTATTGATTTTTTCGACGATGAAACAGTGTAAAATTTCTATTTGTTTTTTTTTTGAAATCAAAACACTTAAAAAATACCGAAATTTGAAGTTTGACCACTTATTTATTTTTAATTAAAATATTTCAGAAATCTCAATAAATATCTTTGTAAAGTTATAACAATAATATATCAATGTGGACTTACTCATTCCAACTCATTTTTTTTCCAACCACTTCTATTTTATGTGATCACTAAATTTTGGAATCGTTCTTTTGTTTGATTAAAATTTTATTACATGAAAGCCAAATGGAGCCTAGCTAGCTAGAGAAATAAATTTTAGAAATAAATGAGAGCAATTAAGACAATCAGCCAAGATAATATCACATACAAATTCAAAAAAAATCAAATTGAGAGCCAAATATAAGTCAACAACACTACTGGCATCATTATTAGACATACATATCTTGACATAGGTCTGTATGGGTGTCTGTGTCTGTGTGTGTATGTGTGTACGTCTGTATGTATGCATAAAACAAAGAAATATTGTTTGACCTTTGCCGCCTACAATTATTTGTCCTTTGCCTTGTAAACTGTTACCATTGCTTCGTAATTCTTTTTGATTTATTGATGGATTTAAAAGAATATAATGACCTTTTGAACAAATCAAATGGATGAAAGAATTATTCGCTTTACAAAAAAAAAAACAATGTGGGGGACGAATGTTATGACCTTTCTCTCATGACCCGAAATAATCAGCGTGAAAAATGATAATTTGAATCTATAAATGGATGTGGGAAATGAAAGGAAGCGTAAATAGGTCAATCATTGTCGCTGGCATCATTATTAGACATACATATCTAGACATAGGTCTGTATGGGTGTCTGTGTGTGTGCGTGTGTGTGTGTGTGTGTGTACGTCTTTATGTATGCATAAAACAAATCTAAACCTAAGTTAGATAACTTCATCTATGATGCTTGACACTGATCTTCTCAAGCATCTTATAACTGGAAATGTCCGGAATGAATTCAGCGCAAATTGCTATACTTTCCATTCCATTCAGACGAGCAAAACAGAGCTAATTGATCTCCTCAGTGATAAGATTTTAGTGATAAGCAGATCGATAGCTCTGTTCCACTTACCTAAATTGAAAAGTCCCATATTTCAAGCATTTCTGTTGTTGAAATAAAGAAAATGTAACGAATTTAATAGTTAATAGGTCAATTTAATTAGCTTATTATTTTAAATGAAATTGCCAAAGAGGATCTCTATTAATCTATGATTTAATTAATATTCAGTGAGCGCAAATATCCCTAGAATGGCAGTTTGTGAGAAACTTTCTAATAAAAAAAAACAGATCAAATAATGATTCCCTATGGAATGATTGTATATTTGAAGATTGGCGGCATTGCAAGTTAAAACAATTTGCGCAAAGTAATCAATAACCATTTTGAAAATGGATATCACCATGAAAATCTTGATCCTGGTAAGCCTAGCTTGCAAAGAAGTGACACCAAGTGCGCAACGAACAGGTCATGTGAACTGGAAACGCTTAAGGGAAGTTTTCTAGCAGGACAAAAGAAATTCGCCTAGTGAAGTTTTACAGGAAAAGAAGTGGAGGAAAGGTTGAGACCGGAATTCGAATTTGGAAAAGCTATGGTGATGTTCTGGAAGACAACATAATTTTATTTGAGTAAATTTTATATTTCTTTTAATATACAAATGGATGTTTATTTTAATTCATAAAATATTTCCTGAAAATACGCATTAATGTATCATTTGGGATTTGGAATCGGAATTAATAGAAGATCCGGTTTTATTTTTGAGATAAAATGGTAATAACATTTAGCCTTCAACTTTTTGTATTTATAAAATTCGGTCTTAACAAAGCTTAATTACAACAGGTAATTCACCTTTCTTCACAATATAATTGTTACCTAAAATTAAAAGAGAAATATATCAGAGTATACAAATGATAGTATTTATGACATTCTTCTTCGGAATCCGTATGACAATTATTGCGATTTTTTTCCCGGAATCAAAACGGATTTTCTCTTTTTAAATCTAATAAGTTTAATTTGTGATTAGTTTTTGACATTAAAATCTTATAGAAGATAGAATAGCTTACTTATCAATATTTGATAATTTTAATTACCCTAGCAAGGACTTGATAAAGTATTATTTATTTAATGACTATTCAAAAATAGCCCTCTTCTTTACGTCGTTTTTATTAACTCACTTATTACGTTATATACGTGCGTGACTTCACCTCAAACGTTTTCAACATTTCTGTTTTAGGAATTTCAACATTGAAGGAAAATTAAACTATCATACGAATAATGTTCTCGCATTCATTCATTTACAATAATATACCAAAAACAATATTAAATAATTTTTTGTGAATAATTTTTAACTTTCTACCAAACAATTACTTTATGTGAAAAGAAAACGAGAGATTAGTATTTGTGAGGGAGTGATAAGGTGATTTGCGTCATTGTCGCAACTGTTTCCGCCTAATTCAATCGTTCGTTTGACGCAAACACGTCAACTGTTGATATTGAAAATCTTACAAAAATTTGATTAATTTTAGTGGATTTTAAATTTGAGTCGAGTTTAGAAATGGAAAAATTGTTCATTGATAGATGAAATGGAAATTATCAACAAATTTAACAACTTTTAAGCGCAGGCAAATTTCAACAATTTCTATGGAAACCATAAAATGCTATGAGAAATTATTACTTGCAAAAGTGATCCATCGGAAACATCTTTAAGTAATTTGCTTTATTTTTCAAATTCCATTTATTAAATAGGTTACGGTAAGTTATTGAATCACAAAACTAATTAATTTTTATTAAAAACTCACGAACTGAATGAATTTAAACTCTTGAATAGACCAATCAGTTCAATATCCATATGTTTTTTCATTCAGGTCACAAAAGGAAAAATCCTTGAATAATTCCCAATTTACCAAGTTATCAGTGTGAACTGTTATCAATTCATCAGTATATAATTGAAATTATTAGAATCCTTAATAGTTTATGATTGGCAGATGTAACAGATGAACTACTTTTGTTCATTTATGATAAGAATAGGTAACGGATGACAAGCATATGCTTCGCTTTAATTGTTAATTATAATTCTGATACATCTATAAAATGGCTGATACATGTTACCAACTGAAAGAAATATTTCGAAATGAAAAATTTGGTATCTTTTTTTATCAGTTGAATTTTCATAGCAATCTAAATAAGCACTTCCAATTGCTAAATGAATGGGATAAAATTTGAATTAAAAATTTCTATAAAGCAAAATAATTTACGTAAATAATAGTCAGGTTTACACCATTGTTGCCATTGTTTTTACACCTATCTAGAGTATAACATACA